TGTGAAAACTTTTTTCCAGCAAAGTACAGAACAGATCAGTATCTTCATATTCAATATCATCATCATCATAGTCGTTATTATTTCCATTTTCATTTTTATTGTCACCACCACCATCAAGGAAGTTATGTCATTTATCTATAACCTATAAAAAATAACCATTTTTTCTTTTTGCTTTCAGGTAAGTACCACGGGCAAGATGTGTTAACCCAGGGAAATGGTGACATCTGGCAAGAAACAAACCTGGTAAGAGCAAGTACCTTCTCGTCAGTAACGGGACTAATTATAGAGCTGTTTGTTATCGTTATTTCGGCACAACATGAGAAAAAAATCGGCCTCATTGATCGGTCGTGGCAACAAAGGGATTTCTTTGCCTATTCCAAGTGGAACGAGCTTCCCATTCCTCCCGTTGTATGCTTTGTGTTCTGGGCGGGAATGTTTATTGATTCGAATGGTAGGGTTTGTGTGTGTGTGTGTGTGTGTGTGTGTGTGTGTGTGTGTGTGTGTGTGTGTGTGTGTGTGTGTGTGTGTGTGTGTGTGTGTGTGTGTGTGTGTGTGTGTGTGTGTGCGTGTGCGTGCGTGCGTGCGCGCGCGCGCGTACTTGTGTGCATGTGTCTGGGTTTTAGAAATCACAACGTAAGTATCTGATCACTATTTTTTTGCCGGGCATACAGCAATTCGCACTGCTTGCGAATACAGATATTAGATTAAGAGAGTTCATGAGTGAGTGAGTGAGTTTGTGCGCGCTCGCGCGCGCGCGTGTGTGTGTATGTATGTGTGATTCTTTCTTTCTTTTTGAGATATGTCCATGCTTATTCTGAGGAAGTTTACTTAACTAACCAAGAAATAGAAAAAAACAACGTGAATATCATCGTAAAAGAATATTAAAGCGTTTTTTGGGGTAACTGGCTAAAGTAAATAAGATTTTTTTAAAGACATGAATGAGTGAGGTGTGAGTGAGTATGTGTGTGTGCAAGTTAATAGCTTTATTAGTGCGTGTAACGAGCAGTTGGCATAAAAGAGACGTATTATACACGAGCAGCAATTGGTGTGTGCGTGTGTGTTCGTGCGTGCGTGTACCAGTGAGTGCGGCAGGAGTCATGCAATCCCTTCCTGGTGTGTGAGCTGGGTGCCCGTCCGGGTCAGACGCTGCCAGCACCATTTTACTCACTAAATCATTATTAAAGTCTGGGAGATAGCGGCATCCTTCAGATCCTGGAGGAGAAAAACTCCCTGACAGCCAAGTTTGTAGGAATCTGCAGCCCGTTCTCAGAAGACGGCCTCCGCGTGGCCTTCTGGACTTGCTACTCTTCCCTGAGCTGTTGTTTGCCCCTCCCCTTCTCTCTCCCTCTCCTCCTCCTCCTCCTTCGCCTCCTTTTTCTTCTCCCTTTCCCTCTCCCTTTCTCTCTCTCTCTCTGTCTGTCTCTCTTTGTCTGTCCCTCTTCCCTCCCCTCCCTCCCCTCCCTCCTCCCTCCCCTTCCCCTTCTCCCTCCCACCCTCCCACTCCCACTCCCGCTCTCGCTAGATATTGCTCTCTCTCCCTCCCTCCCACTCCCACTCCCACTCCCACTCCCGCTCCCACTCCCGCTCCCCCTCCCGCTCTCGCTAGATATTGCTCTCCCTCCCCCGTCATTCCCCTTCTCTCTCTTTCTCTCTCTCCTTTCTATTTTTCTCATTCCCTCCCTTCCTTTCTCCTCTTGAGTTCCCTCTCTTTCTCCCTCCTCCCTCTCCAAACACAATGAATGAGAACCGCTTTTTACCGTCGCATTGGGGGAGGCGTTTAACGGAGGCGACGTGAGGAGAGGGAGACGACGCCAGCGACACAGCCTCTGCTACCCGGAGATGCGAACGCGCCGCGCTAGGCCGAGGAAAGTATGTGTGCATACACTTGTCGCGACTTGGATGTTTTGAAAGTTTTTTTCCACGCTTTGCCCTCCCCCATCCCACTCTCGCTCTCTTCCCTCTGCATGAGTTCAAGGAGAGCGTGAATGGAGGAATGTAAATGGGGGAAGAGTGAGAGAAAGATGGACAGGAAGACCGACTGACTGGCAGTCCGTTTCTTCGTTAGTTAGACACAGACAATCTGAGCAATGGACAAAAGCAAAATGTGCGTCTGAATTAGTTAACATAGGAAACAAAGCAACAGACAGACACATACACAGACAGAGTGACAGAACCAGCGAGTCAGCGCACGTGCGTGGCTGCGCGCCGAGCGAACTTGAACAGGCGAGTGGCAGAACCCAGTGTACGTTGCAGGCCACGAGGAAATCCGTGTTCACGCTGCATCACATTATCGGGCGGGGCCACAGCCCTGCATCTCCTCTGCGCTGGCTGGGCGCTGCTGGCACAAAAGGGGCGATGGCTCCTCCTCCCGTTCCTCCTCTTGTTTTTGCCGTTGTCTCCGTACCCTGACGAGGAGGGCCGCCCATAAGTAGGGTGGAGGAGCTGACCATATGCTGCCGCGCCTGGAGCCAGATGGTGATGACTTGGCTTGATAAAGGGCTTAGAAATGTTGTCCTGAGGTGCTTGAAGGCCCCGAGGACCAGGTGATGTGCTAGACGCACTTTTGTGCACCGGCCGAAAGGGCGGTTTTGCCGCGCTGCCCCGGATTGTATTAGTTAGAGTTGACCGAGTAACATGACAGGCACGTGTGATCTCTCCTGTGCGCTTACTCCCCGCCCTCTCTTTCTCATGCTTCCCTCTCTCCGCTCGGCCTGCCCTTCTCCGCTCGTCCTCCCTCTCCTCTCTTTCCCACTCTCCCTCTCCCCAACCATCCACCCAGCTCTCCCTCCCTACCTCCATTCCACTTCCTGGCTCCTTCCCTCTCTCTATCCTCTCGCGCGTAGGCTACCGTTCGTTCCTCCCACTCCTCGACTCGCCTTTCTTCTCTCTCCTGTTAAGACTAATTCCTCCACTCACCCCCCTTCTCTCCCTCCCTCGGTGTCTTAATGATGACCTTTCATAGACTTTTGTAGTGTCGTTCTGTCATTCTCCTTACTTCATGTACCTCATTCTTGCTCTATCGTTTTTAGCTCACATGGGCACGCATGCACTGCATACGCACGCCTTATGCAGTCGCATGCAATGCCACCCACACAATTACCCGTATATATACAACCGTATAGATACTTACACCCACCCCTTCACGCACTCATGCGCGCGCATACAGACACGCAGACCCACCTACACAGACATCGGCGTACACGCGGACGCACACACAAGCATCGGCGAACACGCAGACATAGACGTGCACAGACACATGCGTACATGCAGACACAATCACGCAGACATCGGCTTACACGCGGACGCCGCACATAAGGCATTAGGCGTACACGTCAGACACAGACATCGACGTCAATGATGACAACTCATAGACATCCTGACGATACACGCCGATCACACCACACACAACACCCACCACCATAGAACATTAAGACCAAACTATCGCCGGACAACAGGAAAAGAACATCAGCGATACTCTTGGAACTGCCACACAACACAAACCATGCGCCTCACAGCCGACGACAACACAATCATATGCGTACACGCAGAACATCACACACACAGACATCTACGTGGCGGACACGCACATACAGAACATCGGCGATAGACATCCAAGGAGACACATAACACAAGTACATCGCGGACACGCACATACAGACAGTAGGCGTATATGAAGCGGACACCGCAGCGCACAGACACGTTATACGGCAGACGACACCCGCAGCCGCAATGCACGCACGAAATTGGCACGGAAATAACCACCCATACGTGTTTAGGGATGGGAGGCTTGTTGTCCACACCCACATCCACCCACCCAGCCCACGCCACACCACATAAACCACATCCACCATAGTGCCACAACAGCACAACACACAACACAAGCACACACAGCACACACACACACAGCACCACACAGCATGTATATAACACACAACACACACGATCATAATACCAAACACACACACAGCACACGCACACGCACACACACCACACACGCACACACAAGGCGCGCCGAACGCGCGGCGCGAGCAACACGGACGCACACAGCACGCACGCACAAATAAGAACTAAAATACAAAGCAGAGGGAATTCCACACGCACAATAATAAAAACATCACACATAAACAACATAACGTCACTATCACTTAACTTGCGAACCCTCATTCGACCCCTAACTCAAATACACATGAGGCAGCACAGATAACCCTACCTATCTACAGTTACGCGTTATATAATACAACATAAACCACCATTATCTAACCCTATCTGAGTTCTATACATATCTAATACTAATCTAATCTACATACCTATCTAATCTATCTAATTCTATACTATCCAATATCTATCTATCTACATCTTCTAAATCTATATCTATACATCTATCTATCACTATCTATATAATCATCTCTATCTGTACCAACCAACCACATATCTATCTACCATAAACAAAACTATTACAGTACCTATTTAACCTTACCTACTCTAATCCTACGTAACACAGATAAACATATATCCTTACCTACGCTACTACCAGAACCTAACTACCTACCTACTACCTACCCACGCTATCTAACCTACCATACCACCCACCCACCCACTCCTACCTACCTACCTACGCTAACCTACCTACCTAACTACCTACGCTACCTACCAAGCTACCACATATCCAAACAACAATCTAACACTATACCAACCTAAGCCTACCTACCCACGCCAGTCTCACGCCACCCACGACCCACCTAAGTCCACCCACCACCTAAGCCACACAGAGTCCACTGCCTACCTATATCACCACAGCCATCACACCAACACGACCCTTCAATCATCAAGCCGTGACCCATTTTCCAAGCAGCTAACAACCAAGACCATTCCTACCTAGCCAGAGCATCCCACCCACCAAGCCATTTCCTACTACCAAGGTCATCCCCAACCCACGCAAAGGCTACCAACCACCGCGTCAATCCCACCACCACCCTGATACCATCTCAACTCACACGCGAATGACCATACCTCAACCCACCAGGCCATCCCCAACCCACCAGGCCATCCCAACTCCACCAGAGCGATCCCAACGCAAAGCACCAGGTCAACCCCGAAACCATCAGCATCGGCCAACGCCACCAGGTTCCAACAACAAACACCAACCAGGAAACCCCCCACACGCGACCTTTCCACCATTACCAATAGCCATTGATGCACTTTTTCTGTCGGTCATCTGGTGTTGTAAGTGATACTCCTGCGCAGGCCACAAAGAGTGCGTAATGTAGGCAGTGAATGCATTGGAGCCCTCAATCCCACCAGGGACTAATCCAGCACTCGGGCCTACCTTCCCACCACAACTGAGACGTGACATGACACCATATTCACTAACTGTTTGTACTACGCCCAAAGACCATCCTTAGAGCGCGACGCGAGAGAAGATACTCCATCCACCAAAACACCAGCGCCCTACCAACCGAAGCACACGACATAGGGAGGAGGTCAGGGACAATACAGCAGAGCAGTATTGGTAGTTACCACCAACGAGTGGAACAAAGCCTAGATGAACTATCTATCTCTATCTCGCGTCAAAGATTCGGCACGTAGTGCTGGATATAGTCCATGGTCAAATGAAATCCAATCCAGGGACACCCCATCTAGACCACACTCCGACGAACCCACCATCCGCAGGCCGCCACACCCCGAACCCTGACGAGCCTCCAAAAGCACTCATCACCCACACGCCAGCCACACAGAAGCGACAGAAACCGAGTCACCACACTTCATTTCAACACAAACATTGTCCCCAATGCTCGGCTTGCGCGCACAAACCCCAGGCTAGCCAAGCCGTTCATTCCCCCACCTGAGAACCTGCTAAGCCAGCGCCGAAGCCCATAAACCTAAGCCATTTTCCGACAACCCAGCCCAGGAAGAAGCCGATTCCACGCCCGCCTGGGCCTCAAGTAAGTCCCACGCTAGGTCCATCCAACCAACATCTCAACATGCAAACTGCGGAGGCCATCAAATTTCCCAACGAACGAGGATCAACTCTAATTTACACCAGCCATCCCCACCCACCAGGCATTCCGCAACCGCACCAGGCCAACCCCCACTCTATCCCAAGCCATTCCCAACCCACCAGGACCATTCCCAACCGCCATCCAGGCCATTCCCAACCCACCAAGCCATCCCCCTCCTTTCCAGCCCTGTTTCCACTAACGCACACACTCCTCCATCTTTCCCTCCCTCGCTCTCTACACATCACGGCTCCTACGCCTCCCGCCCACGTGCGACCTCTGCTCTCTTCACCACCCGCACACTGATCTCCTTCCACCTACATGTGCATAACGCCTTCCCCTCTTCCTCCCTCTCTTCCATTCTCTCTTCCCTTCGTACTTACTCCCTCATGCTCTTCCTTCTCACTCCCCTCCTGCTCTTCTCTTATTCACTTCCTTCCCTCCTGCTCTTCCCTTCCTCGCTTCCTTCCCTCCCCCAACCCCTGCTGGTACCGCCCACGCATCGACGTCTGACCGTCCTTGTCAACGTCTGTCTACTTTACTTACCTATCCATATATATATATAAATAAGCAGTATCCTTGCCAACACGGCAAACACGGATCCACCAATACAAAAAGAGAAAAAGCACAAAAACTTTCTTTGCCAACACTACCTACGCGCGCCGCCCACCTCTTCGCCTGACAACATGACCTAGATGACCAGTGCCAGCAGCCAGCAGCGCCCACACACGCTCTCTGACCCTCCCGCCCAGCCATGTGCAGACATCACTTCTGCGCCCACTCACCCGCCCACAAACGCCTATTCCGCATCGCGTATTCACCACATGGGGGTATTTTACACGCCTAATGTAGCACTTGATGTCTTTTTTTTATATTTTTGTCGCCGTTCTTCTTGGTCTTCTATTCCAGAATGCCGTAATGCTACACAGAAGAGGAGCATGGAGTGATTGTTTTTCTAGGTCATGTACGCGTATATGAACGATATTCAATTAGCATTCTTTTGCCTCCCTCCACTCCCTTCCCCTCCTTCGCTCCCCCACTCCTGCTCCTGCTCCCTCCCCTTTGCATTCTCATTCCCACCCGACCTTTTCCTCCCCTTACCTATTCCATGCTTTTGCTCAACCTCCTTCCGCATATTTCTTTATCTTCTTAAATATCCTCTCTCTCTCTCAGTCTCATCTTCTCTTCTCTCTCTCTCTCCTCTCTCTCTCTCTTTCTCTCTCTCTCCTCTCTCTCATTCTCCTCTCTCTCTCTCCCTCTCATTCTCTCCTCTCTCTCACCCTCTCTCTCTCTCTCCCTTACTCCTCTCTCATCTCTCTCTCCCTCTCTCTCTCTCTCTCTCCCCTCTCTCTCTCTCTCCCCCCCTCTCTCTCTCTGTTCCCCCCCCCCTTCTCCATCAGCGTCACTCCTCCTGCCCCTCCGTCTCCTCTCTTCCCTCCTCTCATCTCTCTCTCCCGCCTCCTTCTCTCTCCTCTCTCTCGTCTTCTCTCTCTCTCTCTCGCGTCTCTCTCTCTCTCTCTCTCTCTCTCTCTCTCTCTCTCGTCTGCCTCTCTCTCTCTGCTCTCTCTGCTCTCTCGCCTCTCTCTCTCTCCCTCCCTCTACGCTCCCCCCTGCCTCTCTCTCTCCTCTCTTCCTCTCTCTCTCCCCTACATCTCTCTCTCTCTCGCTCCTCTCCTCTTCCTACACGTCTCTCTCCCTCTCTCTCTCCTCATCTCTGCTCTCCCCTCCTCCTCATCTCATCTCTGCTCTCTTCGGCCTCTCCGGTCCTCTCTCCACGTTCTCATCCATCGTGATCCCCCATCGTCCTGCTTCTTCTTCGCCTCTCTCCTCTCCCCTCGTCTCTCTTCTCCTCACCATGCAGCGCCTCCTCTCCTCTCATCTCTCTCCAGTCTCTCGGCATTCCCTCGCACTCTCGCATGCTCCTTCCTCCCCTCATCAATCCTCTGTCTCACCCTCTCCGTCCCAACTCTCTCCACATCNTTCTTTCTCTCTCTGTCCTCTTCCTCTCTCTCCTCTCCTCTCCCCTCCCCCCCCCCCCCTCTCTCTCTCTCTCTCTCTCTCTTCCTCTCTCTCTCTATCTCTCTCTCTCTCTCTCTCTCTCTCTCTCTCCCCCCCCTCTTCTCTCTCTCTCTCTCTCTCTCTCTCCCTCCCCCCCCCCTCTCTCTCTCTCCCCTCTCTCTCTCTCTCTCTCTCTCTCTCTCTCTCTCTTCTCTCTCTCTCTCTCCTCTCTCTCTCTCTCCTCCCTCCCACCCCCTCCCTCCCTCCCCCTCTCTCTCTCTCTCTCCTCCCCGTCTCTCTCTCCCTCCTCCCTCCCTCCCCCCTCTCTCTCTCTCTCTCCCTCCTTTCTAAAAAAATTGTATTTCCTCCGACACACTTACAAAACCGCTTTGAAAATCTCTCGATAAATGGATTTACACCGAGAGAATAAACATTTGCAATTGCGTCT